CCATCAACCACAACTGCATCAAAGAGCCGAAGGAGGGGAAACTAGATCTACCCATTTCCCGAGCATAGTATCCCCATCTGTGAGGAACACCACTTTGGAAATAATGGTTGCTCAATTACGTGAACTTCAAGGAATGGTAAAAGACTGGCTGACACAATAAATTCACGACCACATGTTTGCCAAGGAGGTGTTGGAAGTCGACCTGCCAGTTAACTTCTGCTAGTGAGCTTATCTTATGATGGGAAAACTGATTCGGCATAGAATTTGAGGAGTTCCAAAAACTTTGAGGTTATATATTGTTATAGCGACGTTGTATATTTTTTAGCATTCTTGCCCACATTAAAATGGTCGGCACAAGATTTTTTTCACCAATTTTCAGACAGTTCAGTTTATAACTTCAAAAAGTTAGCTCACGATTTGTCAATCAATTCTCTAGGTCTATGAAGCACGAGAAGACGTACTTAACCCTGATCAATATGTAGCAAAATGCAATATATGCATATGTAGATCGATATACAAAGGAATGTGTGAAAGTACCATCGGCGACAAGAGGTCTGACCAGGGGTCTTCAACCAAGACCGTACCGAAATTCTGTGGCCAAGAGGTCGCATTATGACAAGCTCCTAGATCATTGTGCGAATTATATTGATATGGAAGAAGCGGAGACTGACTTTTTACAGAACACCAAAGCAAGGCCAAAAGACCTGAAGATAAGCCACGATTAGAAGATAAGAGGTCCTCAGGTCATGAGGCAAGGGCAGATGATCATTACAAGGTCGGCTACAAATACGGACAATATGCACCAATCAAAGTTCCCAAAAGGGACGTGTTCAAGAGTTTCGCAAAAACACGAAAGATACGGGAATCTTTTCCTGACCTTTCCCTATTCGCAGAAAAAGAAGGCTTGCTTCTACCTAAGAGACTTTGTACTCCATATACCATATAGATTATGGTCACTCTACGAACAACTTCAGTGAGATGAAGGATGAGACCTAATGGCTAATAATGGTTTAGGAACCTTAAAGAGTTTGTCCTTAAGGACGAAGAGAAGAGAGATGAGCATGAAGGACCTGAGAAGCAATGACAGTAGGAAGACCTCGCTGCGAGGAAACCCAAGAGGGGGAGGGGATTCACGTGATCGCAGGAGGCCCCACAGTGAGCGATTCACATAACACTTGAATGAAGAGCACAAGAAGGGGAAAGAGGTCGTAGAGGTTCAAGTTAAAAAAACCCGAGGTGATGCTAAATTTTGGGTCGAGAAGATGCAAGAGGTATTTCTAACCCCCATAACGATGTGTTGTTTATCACAGCTGACGTCGCCCGCTATGATGTCCAAATGGGGTTTATCGGCACTGTGAGCTCAGTGGATATCATTTTGTAGCAGATTGACCTACTCATGGCCAAATGTCGTTTTCAATTTGAAATAATCGATTAAGGACCTCGGATTCACATTTTATGTGAACCAAAACCAGCTCGGGTATATGTATAGACCAGTTCACAAAACCGATAATTCACGGTTTAAAACAAGCCCACCAACTCAGGCCGAGCCGGGAAATTTAAATATCAATAAAAATTTGGAAAAAGCAAAAGAGTAATATTTAATTTTGTCAAACCGTTGGTTTTAGTTCATGATAGGAATCGGTGGTTCAATTGTGGAAAAAACACATGAATTTAAACTGGCCCAGGTAAAACCATTGGTTATTTTACGGCCCGTAGTCAACAGGCTTGATCGGGCCAATCCTGGGCCGTTTTCATCTGTGGACATGCCTAGATGGACCTGGACGTGAAGGTCAAACTAGTTAGGACCATGTTTTCAAGGGAAATGAGGTTGTTCCCATAGGGGAGGTTCTCTTATCGATAGTGCTCGACTAAGAACCTCTAAGAGAGATGGAGATGGTTGGGTTTTTATCGTGGAAGAAAATTCAACCTACAATGTCATTCCAGGGCATCCCGACCATAATTCTTTTCAAGTCGCAGTTTCTACCTACAAAGGCAGACGAGGTCGTGCTACCAAGTAATGTTGAAGGCAACTAAAGCACAAAGAAGAATGAGAGTTTGAGAAGGGGATTTTCAAGAGGGGTCCAATAAAGAGGCAAAATTCAAAAAGTCAAAGGTATTGTCTCAAGACTAACTCATGGAGGTCGAAGCTGGTTGAAGAACAAACGACCAAGTGACTAAAGTAGGGAGGAACCTGAAAGAGGTATATAGGTAGCACTTATTGATTTGTAAAGAGAGTACGTTGATGTGTTTCCATTTTCCATGAATGACTTCACAGGGTTCATCCCAGAAGTTGCGGATCACCGCTTGAACGTGGAAATAGCTGTGAGGCCAATAAAGCATAAACGACGACACTTCGGGGCAGAGATCGACTTAGTCATTAAGAGATTGACAAACTAATTACAGCAGATCATGTACGACCTATTCAATTATTGAAGTGTCTGTCTAACTCTTTGATAGTAATGAAATGAGAGGGTGAATAGTGCATTTGCATCTCTTTTAGAGATCTGAATGAGGCGTGCTCCAAAGATCATTATCCGCTACCAAGGATATATCAGCTCGTGGATTCAACAATGGGTTGTGTGCTCCTTCGCATCATGGATCACATGGTTACCACCATATACCACTAGTCGTTGGGTTAAAGAATGATGGGGCCACATATCAATGGATGGTGGAAAAAATGTTCAGCAAAAGATTAGGACAATACATGGAGGTCTACATTGACGGCATGCTGCTAAAAGTCATAAAAACTAAAGACCACATCAGTGACGTGAAAGAGACCTTTGAGATACTACGCGGGTATGGGATGAAGTGTAACCCTACCAAGTGTAAATTTGGGGTCATATCAGGCTTAGTATTGGGCTATGTGGTTACTAGTATTGAGGTTAACCCACAAAAAGTGAAGACAATTTTAGAAATGAAAGCACCAAAAGGCATAAATGAGGTTCAAATCCCCACAGGACGTCTAGCTGGGCTAAGCAGGTTTATTGCTCAGTCTATGGAGAATAGTTTTCCATTTTTATGAGCATTATGGAAGGTATCGCGTGTTGAGTGGACATCTCGGGCTCATGAGGCGCTTGATCGTTTGAAAAGGTTCCTAACCTAGTTACCATTGCTTACAAAACTGAAGCTAGGAGAGGACCTTATTTGTACATTTTCGTAGGCAAGGTGGCAATTAGGTTGATGTTGTTGAAAAAAGAAGGTGGGAAACATAGACTCATATACTACATGAGTAGAGTGTTACAAGAATCGGAGACAAAGTATTCAAAGGTTCCATTAGCTCTCATCTCGATTCTTGTCGCATAAGGTGATTGTCCACATGAATTATATCCTGAAAGGCACGCTAGGAAGACCATCAGAAAAGATGGTCAAGTGTGTTGTTGATTTGGGGAAACATAATATGGAATTTGAAGTATGAAGGGATATAAAGACTCAAGTCCTAGTTGATTTCATTCAGGAGTACATGGTAGAGAAAGATGTTTTTCTAGAGCATGATATATGTGGATGGTTCCTCGATCATTGGATGACAAGTCCAGAGATATTAATCATAACGCCAAAATTGGATCATATGGAGTTTGCGATAAAGCTATCTTTTAGGGCCTCGAACAATGAGGCATATTATGAAGTTCTTATCAAAGGAATCCAATTTATGGCAATGGAAGATGGCCAACGAGTACGATCTACTCTGACTTTCAGCTCGTCGTCGAGCAAATAAAATGTTAATATAAAGCGATAGAAGATTGTATGGAAATGTACGTCACTCAGGTTCATTCGCTCTTAAATGGATTCAAGACCTTGGATCTTATACAAGTTCCAAGGGCTGAGAATACTATAGTAACTTGTTTGAGGCTTAGTTATATGAAGTTTTATTTGGATGATTTGATCAGTTGAAGTCAAAATTGTAAAGGTCTCATTTAAGTGAACCTTGGAGAAGAACTTGGTGTGTATCCTGATCTTTAACAAAGCAAATATTAGGTTAAAACACAAAGTAGATCGAGTTATCATGGGCAAATTGTGAAACACTTAAGAGATTTTTAGTAATGGTGGGAACATGCAAAAGGTTTCTTAGGAGAAAGGGTCTATAATGGTTATTGGGATTGTGAATATGTGAATTGCCAATATGTGAAATAGACAAACCTGAGCCATTACCAACATGAAGCCTATTGTTCCCTTGGTATTCGGATGCTCGATTGAGATTGGAAAGACCATCGGTGACATGATTAGAGTCACCAAAATTAGCAAACCACATGGAATCTGGGGTAGGATCAGGTGAAGTAATCAAGGCATTGAGATGTGAATCCATAGGTACGGGATTCTGATAGTCTGCATGAGATTGAGTATAAGTTGTTTGGGTATGCATGGTTATAGGGGGAGGATAAGAGCTACCATATCTGTGATAGCATCTTTCAACCGTGTGATTGTTGAGGCCACACAATTGACAAGCTGGTCTGGAATTTGAGTTTTTGTACCCCCAACCACCTCTCCCTCTGTAGCTATTAGACCTGCCTCTGCCTCTTGAGGTAGAGAATTCTCCTTTTGTGTTGTTATTGGGATGAGAAGTTGAAAAAGACTTCTGAGTGTTTGGGTTGTTTAGGGTTAGGTTAATACTGGGCACAGAACCATCAGGGTTCACAATAGGTTAAACAGTGATATCAAGCCTAGATTCAAGGCTAAGCAACATAGCATAAACCTCATAATTAAGAGTGTAGGGCTCAACTCTTGATGTGACTGCAACAACAGCAGGGTTATATTCACTGCCCAAGCCAGGAAGAATGTAGAGAATCTGTTTCTGTTCAGAGACAGGTTCACCAGCAACACCTAGAGCATCACAAAAGGCTTTTGGCTTGCCTAAGAAGTCTCGCATATGGCTGGATCCTTTCTCTAGGGTTTGAAGTTGGAGCTTGTGGTGCATAAGTCTTGCTTTGAGATCCTAGAGAAGTTATACTCCAGTAAGATCCATACTTCTCGAGTGTGGTCTTGCCAACCATCATAATGAGTAGATTTCAACTCAAAGAGGAGAGTAACCAAGACATGAGAAGTTGGCCTTGTCTTGCCCAAGTGGCAAAATCTGGGTTAAGGGTGGGTGGATCTGCACTATTTGAGGAAATAAATCTCGATGATGGGAGGGAATCTTCAGCAATAAAGCTTTCTAGGCCACAACCAACAATGGCACTATAGGTTTGTTTCATCCATAGCCGATAGTTGGAGTTTGTGAGCTTGATGGAGATCAGTTGGTGCTGCGGGTGGACGAAGAGAGGTGTATTTGTGGTCATTGTGTTGATGTTGCTCTCTGAGGAAGCTTGAGAAGTCATGGCTCGAATAGAATAGTAGATTTGAATAATGTTGCTAGAACCACACAAAAACTAGATCTAAGAATATAGGTTACTGATGGTGTAGAAGCCCGTGTCCCAAGAAGAAATGATAGCTCTTGATACCATGTTAAGTTGTGATAATAAAACGAAAATGTGTAAAACAAGAAAGCATGAGAAGCTTGCTTAAACGGGATCATCCATTTTCATTAAACACATCACATCTCTCTATCTTGCTCATTAATTTCCTTGAGCACAAATGAGGTAGTATATATTTATACATAAGGCCGATAACAATCCAACGGTCCTCATTGCATACGATCATGATTCTCTTTTCTCCTTTTCTTCAAAGTTCCTTCATGTTGACTTGGCAGAGGTTCTTGTTGACCGGTCGTATCCTTGCATGGCTTCTTGTGATGAGATGACAGAGAATTGTCTTTGCATGCATGGACTTCATGTATTCTATAGTTGGTGAATAATATTTTTTTTTCTTCGAATAAAATATAACAATAGTTGCATTTTAATGTTTTATTTCATTAATTATATTAGTGAAATAAGTAGTAAAACTTGATATGAACTGATTTTTTTTTTTTTTTTT